GTCATTTAAGTGTTTTTTTTTTTTTTTTTTTTTTTTTTTTTTTTGTTTTTTGTTTTTTGGGTGCATTGCTCATCACTATAATGTTTTGCCACAACGCGAAAGTAACTGAAATGACCAACTGGTGGCTTTTAACTTTGACTTCTTTTAAAAATATTTAAGTATTATTCAAACCACATCACAGATTATCAAATATACTTTTGTGTTTTGCTTCCTTACAGACTTACATTACATGATCTGAAGAAACAAAAATTAAAACAAAAGTGGTTGACAAGACTTACATTACATTATCTGAAGAAACAAAAATTAAAACAAAAGTGGTTGACAAACAAGGCCTTAAATTATAAATTGACTTTACTCTTAATTAGTTTATACATTTTAGTTAATATTTAAAATGTATAAAAGTTCTTTCTAAACTAATCACCTAGCTCAATCTAATTAGTCCAATTGGAGTGATTAGAATTTCGATGTTTTTATGGATATTTATCCTATAAAAAATAATTAAATATAAAAAAAAATTTAAATTTTGTTTTGATAAATAGGAGAGAAAAAAAACAAAGGAGAAAAATGGCAGGGAAAAAGAAGTCTTACACTTATAAGACTTTTTTGGTTGTTTCCACATCTAGAAGAGAAAAGTTGATTAAAAAATCTTTATGAAGTGAATAGACGATGTAAGTAAAGTATGACACCTTCATGTAATAGTCTAAAACTGCTTCACGTACCTTGACTTCATAGATGTGGACTATTAGGTCTTAGTGTTTTTGTTTTTCTTTTTTTTTTTTCTCATCATTTTTTTTAAACTTATTAATAACAAAATATCAGATAGTTTTGGCAAAAACTCTCCATTCAAACTTCTTCCAAGGTTAAAAGTTTGAATTTATTGGGAATCAGAGAAATTTTTCATTAATTATTTGATACATGTAAAATAAATAGAGTGCAGGTGCCTAATAACAAATTAAAAAAAATATTTTAAAAAGCACGACACCAATAAAAAAAAAATAATTATAAAATAAATTACAAAAGATCTCTAGCAAAACTACAGCCACAGCCGAAAAGGTACATCATTATGGCTTTTTCATCATGGTTAATGGAACATAGGTTGCCACTTGCCATCAAGAACAAAGTATTAATTCCAAATAAAGTTAAAGAACATAGTTGCTATTTTATTTTATTTTATTAGGGAGTATTATTTTTTCTTAAAAAAGGGATTTATTCGGGATTAAAAATAAAAAAAAATAAAAAAACTGAAAAATATCATAGTTAATATCTTTACAGAATTATAAAAGTAAAGATAATGGCAAGTTTTGTTTAAAAGGACTAAATTAAAGCTTATCTTAACAAATATTCACAAGTAAATATTTCTTTACAAATTTATAGATTTCATAATTTACATAATATTCTACACGGGACAGCAAATATTAATATAGATCATTCGAGTTCAAAGTTATTGGAATTCACTGACAATTATAGTTGTCCAGATCTTTAATAGTAGTAACGTCCCATTTGGAAACAAGCCAAAATGCATCTAATATTATTATTAATGTAGCAATAAAAATATACTCCCTATCTTTAATTCTTCAGATATTATTATTAATTTAAAATTGCATCCAATTAGATCTGATAGTTGTTTTGTTTCTCTTGGTGGAGCAAATGATTTCATGATTGGATGAACAACTTGGGTATAAATACATTTAGGGCCAAACCCCTTCAAGAGGGTCTCACCCATACTATTAAAACAAGAATGTGTGTGTTTGTGTGTGTATTCATCATATATATATATATATATATATATATATATATAAAGATGGTTAACCCATAGAGTATAGGCATGGGAATTTATAAATGAATAATATAGACACATATGCATGGGTAGGATGATAATGTGACCCGTCCCGCTGTTACCCGCCTCATTCTATTCCATTTTTGGCAGTTTTGGGGGAACGTTTAGTTTATTTGGGCGGGAATGGTTTGATGTAATAAAAATCTGTGCGAGTTTGGTGTGGGACAGGAGTAGGTCGTCCCGTCCCGTTTAAATAAACAAATTACTTAAGTACCCTGATTTTATTAATATATATATTTTCCGGTATATATATTAAGTACACTATATAACAATATTAAAGTAACAAATAAATTTGATTAGAAGAAAAGCTGCAATGGTAAAGAACTGAAGATGCGGAGAGAAAAAAAAAAGAGCAAATCTATTTCAACAAAATAAATTATAGTCTTAAACGGGGCAAGGCGAGTACCCACATGGGTAAAAATGTTAAACGGTTGCGGGGATGAGGTGAAAAGTCCCCCCATTTTTGTGGTTTTGAGCGGGGTTTTCAAACAGTTGCAGGGGTGGGGAAGGGTACACCTGCCTAAACACGGCCCCTGTTGTCATCCCTATGCATAGGGCTGTTAACTGATCGAATCTGGATCTTGCCTCCTCGATTTTAATCGGATGAGAAATATACGTTATTCGATTCTAATCCGATGAGTGGACGAATTATTGGTTAGTGAAGTCATATCTAATTTTATAGTTTTATTAGATATCCCATTCAATAATTCGGTCCGACAAGAGGTATATTTTTTTGTTAAAATTTCAAAATAAGTTTTTAAGAAAAGAATTAAGAGAAAGAAAGAGAATGACCAAAATATAGGGAAAAATAAAAATAAAATAAAATAAAATAAAGAAGAATTAGATATTGGATTTTTTTATTTAAAAAATAATAATGAAGAAAATCAACAGAAGGAAGAAAGAATTAACAAAAATAATAAAGAAAAACTTGTATAGTTAAAAATTCTAATATTTTACATGATAAAATAAATTCTACATAAACAACAAATTTTTTTTTTTTTAAAAAAGGTTCATCAACTTTATAAGAATTTGACAGATAAATATGTAGATCGGATTGATCATAATTCATATCCTATCTGTTAACTTAATAGATTATTAAATACGAATCATTAACGAATTATCAAATTAAATATTCAATTCACATTCTATTTATCAGATTGAATTTGATTAAATTTTTATCGAAATCTAATCTATGTGTAATTGTGTAAATTTAAATATATACATAGAATTATTAAATAGTCCGCGACTATGTGATTCTGCTCCAACATAAAGTTAATGTGCAATAAAAAAATAAATAAAACCAACTCATTTTAGTTTCACGTCCACTTGTTTTGTTTGTTTTTAAATTTTTTTTATTAATTTGAAATATTCAGAAAGGCACGAACTCATACCTCCACCCTCAACAAGTCCACTAATTCATGAGGATTCTGAAAAGCGCATTCTCATTTGAGTCGGGTAAGTTTAATCACAAATTGTGAAACAAGAGTTACACGGGGTGCGAAAACAGTTGATTTTACTTGTGATTAACTCCTTTAATGACCTAGATCTGATTATTAGGTCAACTTGCTTAATTTATAATTCATTAAATTGCATGATCAATTAAATACCCACAATCATAAATATAAATACTGAAAAGTAAAGCAAGTTAAGTTTAGAGAGATTGCACCAAGATTTTTAGCGAGGAAACCCCAATTGATAAAATATGTCAACTGCTATGGGAAAAACCTCGTAGACTATACAGACCAAAGTAAACCAATCCACTATATTTGAAACAAAATATACCGAACTTTGACCTTGGCTTACACCCTATCGTTCTACACCACACCAACCGCTGTTGATCCTTTGGTTTTGCGACTCCCCGTCCAACAGCAATTTGATCTCAGGCTTACACTTGATATTTGTAGAAGAGTAGCAGATAGATCAGACAGCACTGCACGAATGCTCCAACCCTTTCAAAGTGTGATAGCGCTTACTTCTGTTCTTTAAGATCTGAACTCGATTGTAGGAGAATTAAATCCTGCTTCTCATTTAGAATATCTGAATCTTCAGTATAGCTCCGATTCCGATGAGATAGAGAACAACACCACAAAATCACTCATGAATATATGTGTATGCTCTCATAAATAAATTCAGAATAATCATAATTGATTTTATGAATTTTCTCTCTCTAGATGGCTTTCTCAAAATATAGAATTGATTTTCCCTCAAGCCACACCATTAAACCAATGTATATGACATGGTTTATATAGAATTTTGAAAGTCCTAATCCCTCAAAAAATATTATAAAATTCGTGTATAGGACTTAGAAGGAAATTGGGATCAAAAAGAAAACTTTCAGCAAAAAAGAAACTAAAATCCAAGTGCTGCTAGAAGTCCTTGAACCGGTTCAGCCATCTTGAACCGGTTCAAGATGGACAGTACTGAATCTCACGGATTCTTGAACCGGTTCAGCCCTCTTGAACCGGTTCAAGATGGTCAGTCTTGAAATTTTTGCATTCTGATGTAGTTGAACCTGTTTGATAGATCTTGAACCAGTTCAAGATGGACAGAATGTAAAACCTTGTTCCGAACCTTTCAAAACCCTTCCTAAATGTTCTCACTACCTCTCAAAACTTCTTATAGCGTTGTTCTCATCATCTCGGGGTGTAGTATACCATGAACACTTGACCTTAAAATCCACATCCGATCTTCCATCTTTGAAATTTGTAACCGAAAAATTAACTTGATAGGACTTGTTTTGACAACGAAATTAGCCAATTACAAAAATATATCTCACACAAATAACACTCAGTGAGATCTCAAAACCAAACTTTAGACTTGCAAATCACCAAACTCCAGCAAGCAAACCGCTTGAGCATATCCAAAGCAGAACAAGTTCGATATACATAATAATTTCTCGTATACAGCTGAAGTGTTTTTTTAGGACTTCTTTTACAGAGACACAGTCGAGAGAGGGGACAGAGGTTCCTAAAATACGTGGTTTCATGAAAAAGTGCCTTCTTCGCACCGGAAAGAAACCGCCTTGCACCTGGCTTTACTAGGTCCCCACAGCTCAATGGTCCCGGAAGGTTGTCATGAAATTACTCCTTTGCCCCTCCCCCTAAGCCCTCTCTATTTATTCCCCACCTCACCCCTCCCCATTTCCTCAAACCCATTCCCCCCCCTCCCTCTGTTTCTCTCTCTACATAACTCTTCTGTGCAAGAAAATGTCTCTTTTCGGTTTATTCGTAGTGGGTTTTCTCTCTCTATACTCATCTGCTCGTGGGTATGAAGAGGGATGGGTTGATGCTCATGCCACTTTCTATGGGGGTGGCGATGCTTCTGGAACAATGGGTATGTAACAATACATATTTGTAAATTACATGCATACATATATAGATACATACATACGTCTATACATACAATTAATTGGTACTAAACTTTTTGTCCCTTTGTGCAGGTGGAGCGTGTGGGTATGGTAACCTATACAGCCAGGGATACGGGACCAACACAGCAGCTTTGAGCACCGCTCTGTTCAACAATGGATTGAGCTGTGGGGCTTGTTTCGAGATCAAGTGTGTGAATGACCCTAAGTGGTGCCTCCCTGGCTCTATTGTGGTCACAGCCACCAATTTCTGCCCTCCCAACAATGCCCTCCCTAACAATGCAGGCGGGTGGTGCAACCCTCCACAGCAACATTTTGACCTCGCTCAGCCTGTCTTTCAACATATTGCTCAATACTCAGCTGGGATTGTACCTGTCTCTTACAGAAGGTGTGCACCTATTTGAGTCTTATTTTCTTGTAGGGTACCCTATCACATCTCCAGTAATTCCCTTACATGTAAAGTAATTCCCTTACATGTAAATGTGTTAGTTTTATTTTTACTTACACAAATTAAATGGGTACTTTAGCAACTGTAACTCACAAATCAAAGTTTCTAAAATACTGAGATAGAGGAAGTGTGTGTGTATATATATATATTTGTATACCAGACCAAATATTTCGCATCATGTAATAATTTTTCCCTTTGTTGACCTAGATACCTTTGGGCCCTTCTCTCACACTTACATGGAGAAATTGAAAAAAAAATAAAATAAGTTTTAATTTCAAATTTTGTTCAATTCCAAATCGAATGCAATTGATGCTCTCAAACGCAAAATTGTTGTTTTTCAATTATGGCCTTGTATACATTCAAGTTTTAATTTGGGGTATATTTTTTATTTGTAGGGTACCCTGCCAGAAGAGAGGAGGCATCAGATTCACCATAAATGGGCACTCCTACTTCAACCTGGTCCTAATCAGCAACGTTGGAGGTGCGGGTGATGTCCAAGCCGTTTCAATGAAAGGTTCAGGGACTGGGTGGCAAACCTTGTCTAGAAACTGGGGTCAGAACTGGCAAAGCAACACTTACCTCAACGGACAGACCCTCTCTTTTAAGGTCACCACAAGCGATGGCCGTACTGTGATCTGTGACAATGTTGCCCCTGCTAGCTGGTCCTTTGGCCAAACCTTCACCGGCGGACAATTCACTTAAATATATATATATACACACACATATATAGTTCGTACTAGCTAGCATCAGTTTTTCAAAAATTGCACACGAATTTCAAATTCGAACCATTTCACACGAATTAGATTGGTTCAGATTGAATCACGGTTTGAACGGAATCCATGTGCAACCTAGGTTTTTATGTTTTTTTGGGTCAAAAATGAAAAGGGCTTATTTTAGTGTGGCCTTTTTCGTAATTTTACATTTGGTTATGTGTGAGGTTTCTGTCCTGGTCGTTTTTAAGGAGGACAGAAAAAGGGCAGTGGTGGGCTTTTACCACCCGCCACTTTAGTAGTAAATGGTCATTTTATTATTATTCAATTTTCAACCCTTTTACTGAAAATTAAGCAAGTAGTGAGTGTTTTGTGTGTTTTGAGTGAAGTCATTGTTATCAGCTTTGGCTGAATGTGTTTCTTGGTTAGTGTGTGAACAGAGATGATGTAGCATCAGTGATATTTGTGAAACCCTATTAATATATTATTATAATATATTGTGTCTGTTTTCTCTATCTCCTTGTGACAAATGGTTAAGATTGTGCATGGGGCGCTTGTTTTTTTATGTCTATATATTTGTCTTGAACAAATAAACCACTGCATATATATATATATATGCCCATCATTTTCAAAATATATAATAATGAATTTACCCAAAGCACCATCTAAAGTTTTATCACTGTTTGATACATAGTAAAAGTCTATATTGTTTTTATAATATGGTCTCAATGTTTGAGCAACAAATTTTAGAAAATTAAAATTGTGTTTCACCAAATTTTGTTCACCATTTCATATGGTTTGATCTCTAGACTTCTCAAATCACTCACCAATTGTAAGATAGTTGATGAAGGAAAAGGTGAAATGGGGCACTTTTCATTCAAATTATTATCTCAGATGGGAAAAATGGTATTGAAGCTTGATATGAAGGAATATATAAAGATTTCTAGTACAATTCTTCAACCTTTCTTGTTTAATATAATTTAAGGAAAATGGTTTGTTCTTAGAAAATCGAAGAATGTATCAATTTCAAAACATTTAGTAGTCGCTAGATGTTTAGAAAGACATTTGCTTCTCCGATCTTGAAAGAAATATACAAAATACTTCGAAGATAAAATTAACGGTTATTAAATACTCCGATCTTAATATATATATATATATATATATATATATATATATATATATATATATAATACTTTGAAGATAAAATTAACGGTTATTAAATACTCTGTAAATCAAAACATCTTCTTTTTTTTTTTCTTTTTTTTTTTTGTTTTTGAATTCAAAGGTTAGCCCCGGCAAGGCTCAAAATTGAACATGCGGATACTGATAGTGTTAAATATATACACATATGGACCAATGACGGAATTTATTTTGTTTTTGAAAAATGATGGCATTTGAAAACAGAAAACAAAGTTAAAACAAAATGAACCAATGCCCAAAAAGCAATGATCAAGTGGGACCTTTCGACGGACCACATGCTCCTAAGAGAAGACATCATCTATTACAAAAATTGAAAATAGACATAACCATGTGCATTATTTCACACTCTAAAGATTTGTCTAGGATTTAGGGCCTGTTTGAGCATTGTTCTATCATGTTCTACTCCCTTATCTACAGTACAAAATTCTACTATTCTGGCCCAAAACGTGTTTGGTATGGCCTGTATTGTTTTAAACAGTGTTGGAACATTTGGCAAAAATGGGCCAATTGTTGGAACAAAAAGTAGGTGTTCTTTCTTGTTCCCAAACTGTATCGGCCAACATAATACTGTAGCGGGAAGAACAAACACCAAAACTTGTACTCACTTTTGACCACGGCTATAAAAAATCGCAGAACACTTTATAGGGTTCACGGAGCAAGCCATTCCAAAGGCGAGTCACAGTGCTCTTCTTGTCACTGCAGTGGGGTTGAATCAGATTTGAAGGTCGTCTTCTTCATTCTTTGGTGAGTTCCTCTGCTTCTTCTTCTAGTTTTCCTTGTGCTCTGTCTAACGTGGATTCCGTTGTTTGAAGATCGGGCTTCAAATCGACCATGTTTGTATGAAGATCTGACCTCCGTCTGTCTCACTTCTGCATTTTCCGGTGAAACCAAGCTTCGCTGCTGCTCTCTGCACTCTCGAATTACCCCAAGCTCTCTCTCTATTTCCTCTTCTCTCTCATCTTGGTATGTTGAGATTTCTTACAATTTTTTATGTTATTTCAGTTAATATTGATGAGAAAATTCTCATAGCAAAGAATGCAGAAGTGTGTGTGTGTGTGTATATAGAGAAACATTATAATGTCTCATTTAGACTTCGATCTATTTTGGAGTTTTGATTATTTTGATTACTTCTTGTCATACAAGGTATTATAATCTTTGTCTGATAAAAAATGGCTTGAATACTAAATAAATAGATGTGGAGTTGGATTAAAAATGGGTAGAGAACATATTTTATGTATAGAAGAATATAGGTGAAACTCAGAGGGCGTGGAAAAGAATATGAAAAATAGACTTTTAAATGTCAAAATAGTCGTTTAAGAATATAAAAAATACATCTCTGTATAATTTATACATATATGAGCTAATTATATCTCTATATATGTATGTTACATGCTCGTGCATTTATATGGGTGGATGACATGCACCAACATCTGTAAGTGGGTGGTCATGTGGAGGAAGAGTTGGAGGATGTAGTTATTGTTATGTAAGCTCAACAAAATCGGCAAAATTACATTATCTATAGTTGTTGTTATTGTCATACTATAACTATATTTTTTATGTTATTTCTCGTGTTGTTATTGTTGATTATTGTGGCTGTTGATAAATGATGTAATATATTAGTTTAATTTTATTTTGTACTCACTTTTATTGTGCATGTTGACAAATGATGTAATATTTATAAAACTAATGTCTGTAATATATGCAATTTCATGTAATGTGTAATATATTGAAAGTTTATTTCAATTCGATATTGAAATAATGCTGTTAAAATAATATGCAACATTAATAGGTTTTAAAATTTAGAATATATTTTATTAGTTTTTATAATAAATTAAGATAATTTTTTAACAATATATATATATATATATATATATATATATATATATATTAAATGTTATATTAATTGTATATTAAAATAATACAATAATTAATTTTTACTTTATATTTAATAAAGTTATAAAAAATGTATTGATTAAAATATTATTTAAAAACACTCTTTACCAAACATATTTAATAATATTTTTTTATTAATTTTGGTTACACTTTAACTTTATCAAACATATTTTGTTCTCATAATTCTTAGAACGAAACACATTGCCAAACATATTGTACCATATTTTTGTTCCAAAATTCTCAAAGCAATTGTAACGCGCCAAACATGTTTTGTTCTCATTTCAGAACACCACACTACAAAACACTTGTTCTGTTCTAGGCTAGAGCACTACACCACACCACACCACACTACAAACTCCAAACAGGCCCTTAGAAGCGCAACACATACACATCCACAAGTGAAATGGTCTCAAAGATATATATATATATATATATATATATATATATATATATATATAAAAGCAAAAACCATAGTTACTTTGTACTTTTACTTTGACCCGAAACAGAAATATTTCTGATTTAGAGTGTGTTCAACATTATTTCGAAACTTGTTTGATAACGTAAATTTATTACAAAATTTTTAGAAACAAAAATATGAAAGCATATTTGATAAAAAGTGTTGTAAGTTTGAAACTTTGAATGGTTACATAAAAATGTTATTTTAGAATTTTATTTTATTTATTTTTTATTTTTTATTTTTTTTTTGGAACAGTGCGAAAGCAAACAAAAGCATCATTTTGAAGCTTCTAATTTTAGCCTTAATTTTGAAAGTGCTTCGATACTATTCAAATGAAAGTAAATACTATCAAATATGTTTCGTATTTTTATTTTGTTACAATACACTAATATATATATATATATATATATATATATATATATATATATTAATCAAACAGAAAGTTTGTTCACGAAATATTGAAGTCTATTTAAATTAAATAATTAGACTCCACGGTCTCCAATGAGCATGTGCCCCTTCTCATGCTACGGTCTGCATTGAGATTGGAAAATCCCTCTTCCGGAAAGGCAAAGGCTTAGGAATTTCATAAATCAATGTTTTAATTAGCTTATTCAGGTCTTGAGCAACTGCTTTGGTTCTGCTTTTTTCTCGAGCAATTGCTTTTGTTTTGCGTTATTTTTGCTTCAGATATTATACAGTAGCAAAGCAAAACACAAAAGCATATTTAATAGCATTTGCTACGATTTGAATAGTTAATTAAATATGAATTAATAAGATGTACCGCAGTCAAAAGGGCCTGTATATTTTGTTTTCATCTACACCTGTTGTCTTGAATTTAGATGACCTAGAGCCTCCAAGACCAACAACAACATTTACTTGGATTGGTCCAACTTACAGTACCAGTACACGCTTGACCAACCAAAACTTTGAATTCACATTATGCCAAATATTCAATGGATTCAGCATCTACAACTCTAACTAGCTTCCCCAAAAATCTTTTACATAGGTCGAGTATGAGCACTCAAAATCATAAAGTCAAGTGCTATATATAAAAAAATATATTTATATATTTTATACCTATATTTGACATATTTACCTGTTGTTCTCACGTGGACTTAAATCATTGACCTTTAACTTTTTAAGGTAAGAAGACAAGGGCAGTGACGGACTCAAAAATTTGTATGAGAGGGGACAGTTTTGAACAACAATAATGTATGGTTGGATATCACTAGAAATTGAGTTGAGACGTATTTAAAATTTTCACAAAAAAGTAGAGATATTTTTAAAATTATTACAAAATTTATAGATAATTTTGTAAATAAAAAACATTTCAGTAGGTTCGGCTGCCCTCATTGAGCCCTTCATGAGTCCGTACATGACCAAGGGTGACTTAATAATATATCAAAAGGAGGTTAGGGGTTCAAGTGTCAGAAGAAACAAGTCTGTGTGAATATCAACTAGAAAAAAAAAAAAACAGGTAATATGCCAAAAGTTTCAAGTCACTGAGAGGAAAGTTTATGATTTCTTTTGACAAAACACAAGCTCCTAAGAAAAGACATCTATCTATTACAAAAATTCAAGAGAATACATTTATCCACAAGTGAAATGGCTTCAAGGACAGATTTGCTCATTCAATTTCAAAATTTAAAAGCTAGGTCAAACCAGAGTTTGTTCACCAAATATTGAAGTCCATTCAACTTTAAGAATTAGACTCTATGGTCTCGATCAAATGAGCATGTACCCCCAACTCTGTCAATATTTTCTTCCTCGATTTTCCCATTGCTATTGTCTGGCATTGAGACCGGAGAATCTCTCTTCTAAGGAGGGCCAAAGGCTTACGAATTATATAAACTAATGATTTGATTAGCATTATTAACCAATTTGTATTAACAAATGAGTTCAGGATTAAATATTTATATATTAACATGCTCAACTTAGTGATATCTCCTTAAAATTTAAAATAAATATATCATGGAGTATTTAAGTTCCGTTAGTGATGAAAAATGAAGTTAGTGTTTCTAAAAATACACAATTTTTACATAGTTCGGTATTACATGATCCCAGCTAATCACATTCAGGCATATATGTAATTGTGTAAGCCTTTTTGCTTACGTGGCCTCTTGTGATTGGCCGGTATCTAGCATTTTGAGAAAGTGTATAATACTGTGAGGGTATTTACATGTGGTATCCCTACCCAATGCATCTTGCATTGAGTGGGATATCACGTGTAAGTACTCTCGGGGCGGAGAATACTTACCAATGAGGATGTACATGGATATGGACACGCCCTATTTTAATTATCAAATTAGATATGATAAATAACCTACTATCTTTAATTTGGTAACTGAGTATGTAACTTACCATCTGTAATTTAATAATTAGAGAAGGCGTGTTCATATGTTATTGGTTTACATTAACGGTCATGATAAAATACATCCTTATCAGTGATGACCTAAATATTATCCCGTCCAGGCATTGTATATTTTCTCATAGCATTCTCAATGCTCCATCTAGATATACCACAGTCAAATGGGACTGCCTATTCTATTTTCATCTAGACATAGTGAGGTTGGATTCAAATATGACAATGGATTCGGTTTCTAGCCTTTTATGGGTCTACGTAGTTTCTCCAAAAGTCTGTTTGCTACTTCTATGATAAGACGTTCAAATGAACGTTTAACGGGCTGGAACCCAGAGGTCCAATATGGCTGGGTGTGGGGCAAACAAAGCATTTTAATGGGCGCTTAATGGGCTGGAACCCAAAAGTCCAATATGGGTGGGTGTGGCCCAGATGAGAATTACTAGTGTTATTTCAATGCCTGCCTAATGTCTAGCTAATTCACAAATTCTTAGAATTATTTATTACTATAAAAAATGAGAGGCATTAGGAACTATTTAATCATCTCATCCTCAAACAAAAAGGGAGGAGTTCGAGTTCAAGTGCGGACAAAAAATGTCTATGAGTGAGTTTTTTCTGTCAATGTCAAAAAAATAAAAATAAAAATAAAAATCTCCTCATCCTAATGTTGCGTTTAAGATGGCATGGTTATGACAGGAAATTAGAGGATACTTTTATTGATATTATTATTTTAACTTTGATAAGAAACTCTCTTACACGTCTATTTTGCCCCAAAGAGAACTTAAAGCCTTAACTAAAGTGAGAAAGTACCACTACAGCTCTTAGTGGTAAGAAGTGAAAGCATTATGGTGGTGACACTTTTAACAGTATTGAACTAAACAAAAATGGAATGAGAAAGGAAATAATTATATTTTTATAAATATCAAAGTAAAATATAAATTTACTCGTAATAAAGAATAAGAATAAAACACATAATTATCAACTCTCCTATATATAAAAAGGAATAATCATAGTTACACCAAACACTAACTATTTTATAGACGGGTGTTACTAAGAGAGGCCTCCTGTGGCTGTGCATCGTTGCCGCCTACAACAAGAGTTACGGCTTTCCATTTTAGAGACGGGTTAGGCAAGGGAGGAATTAGTAATGGGCTAACTTTGGCTATAGCCCAAGTCCAATTGAAAAAAAAAATTTAATACTATTATTCCTATAAACCTATGTACTACTCTTTCTCTTCATATCAGTCCAGCCCAATTCATAGTATTTCTATAAATAAAAAAAGTAATAAAATTTACAAAGGTCAAGTCTTAAATATGAGTAAGCTCACGAACCATAGACATGTCCAATTACAAAATAAACCAAAATAAAATATAATAGGGCCCAACCCAATAAATTAAACATATTGTTAGTTTATGAAACAAGACCTAAACTCTTCGTGTGTAAGGCATTAAGGTATAGGTGGATGGATATCATAGAGTATTATTGTTAATCCAATGAAATATTGAATTTTATTTTTGTAAAAAAAAAAACTAGTCAGGAGTGGAGCACATAGGTCTTACTTTCTAATGTGAATTTATTGATAAGTAACATATATATCTTATATTCTTGTAGTTTTTTGTTTTAATACTTGTATGAAGCAAATTTCAATGAATTCTTGACTGTGAAAATATGTTAGAGTTTGGAAGTGTAAATGTGTTAGAAGGTTGTAGATTATTGGGTTAATTGAATAAATGATACATGATAATTATATATTTAGAGTATAGATGACACACTAAGCAATCATGTGTTTAATTGTTTTTAGTCCTCCCTATTTTGCAATCCTAGTTCCGCCCCTAGGGTTAAGTCTCCATTCTTTACTCATGTACATTATTATTATATATAATATAGGTTTAATTCAAGGATTGTTCTAGATATATGGGTTTATGGGCTTATGGGCTAGTGGAGTGCGACATCGAACAACAACACAATTGTTTGGGCTAAAAGAATAGGAATATTAGGAGACATTTGTCCATTCACCAAGTATAAGAAGGGCATTAAAAATATATATATATATCAGCAATTAAGTTTTCAATTTGGTCACTATAGAACAACTTGCTTAATTTTGGCCGTTAAATTCTAATTTTTCCTTGTAATTTATTTTTGTTAGTTCCGTCCTTCTATCTTTCTTTTACTTGTTCAAACACAAGTTAATACTAAATTCTCTTCCATTTCTTTTTCTCTGCATTAATATTCCGACTGAAGGTTCGCATATTTGAATATTATCTGTTAAAAACTTATTATCTCTGTTTCAAAAAAAGTGTTGCATTTAGAAAACGCAACTCACTTATTACACCAATCTCAAAAAAGATATGGTATTTGGAGAATCGTGAGTCCAAACTCCGCATCTTCTTTAAAACAAAAATAGTAAGACACAACGGAAAAAAGCAAATAAGTAGCTAGAGTTAGATACCCTCTATCTCCTCATCACTCAGCGAGATATCCCTTGTTAATACAGAATCTAAGCCATCCACTTGTCATGCACTAATTGGAACAAAGATTCCACATGGCACCATAGTAGGATCTTCCAACCAAAACACTGTAAAAAAATCTTCCTACGTGGCCATAGTGGTCCCACAGCATCCTTTTCTCAGCCAATAGCAACAAATAAATAGATTTGTGGATATGATTAGGAAGATGAGGATAAAAAAGGATAAGGAGCAATAGATCCCATTGGCTACTCTAAAACCCACAAACACATCACAACCATTAGATCCCAAAATCTAAGCAAACCAACCGTCCACTTCCGAGATTGAACAATGGCCACATGTGTACTCTGAAATGAAATACAAATGCACACACAAAACACACACATTTTGAACCATCACCATTTTCTCAGCTGAGATCCAGTTTCTCCACCCAAATTCAGGTCGGAAAACATGGCCACCGTCACCACCCAACCCTCCGTCGCCGTTTTCCGGCCATGCAACTCCAAGTCCAGGTTCCTGAGTGGATCTTCTGGTAAATTAAACAGAGTATTTTCAATTAAACCGGCAACTTCTTCGTCGTCCGGTTCATTCAAGGTTGAGGCCAAGAAAGGCGAATGGTTGCCAGGTTTGCCCTCGCCGGCATACCTCAATGGCAGGTAATTCGTGTTTTCGAGTCATCATTTAACAGCTCGATTATAATAAATTATGTCGACTTAGAGTAACGTTCTCAAGAGGGCTTGTTATAAGCTTTTCATATTCAAATGATTTATTTTTAACTCTTTACATATTTTTTTGTTTTTAATTTTAATTCAGTGGGTAAAAATGAAAAAGTAATAAACAATTATGAGATGACATCATGTCACAACACATGAATGTATCGATTTTACTTTTGTGTGAATAGAGTTTTTCATAGTAATAAAAACCAAAAGATTTAAGTTGATATATATATATATATATATATATATATATATAATGGGTATTGATCAAACTAGTAACCAGAATGGTTTATCATGATCCAGCCTTCCTGGTGACAATGGGTTCGATCCTCTGGCGCTTGCAGAGGACCCTGAAAACTTGAGATGGTATGTCCAAGCGGAGCTTGTGAATGGTCGTTGGGCCATGTTAGGTGTTACCGGAATGCTACTGCCGGAAGTCTTAACTAAAATAGGAATAATCAACGCTCCGCAATGGTATGATGCTGGTAAAGCCGAGTACTTCGCGTCATCGTCAACCCTCTTCGTCATCGAGTTCATCTTGTTCCACTATGTCGAGATCAGGCGGTGGCAGGACATCAAGAACCCTGGATGTGTCAACCAGGACCCCATCTTCAAGAGCTACAGCTTGGCCCCGCATGAGTGTGGCTACCCCGGCGGCATCTTCAACCCCCTCAATTTCGCCCCCACCCTCGAGGCCAAGGAGAAGGAGCTTGCCAATGGTAAGTTCAACCGAACCGAGTTGGATCCTCTCCGGCGTTGGAGATGGTTGTATGCACCATCAAAGGTGGAGATTGCATCGTGATAAGACCACTATGGGTCCTACTTGGTGGTTCAATTTCCAACTTTGATGGTGCAAACAACCGTCTCTGGTGGAGCACAACGGCTTCTCCAACACTGGAGATGGCCGTAAGCACCATCAAAGGTGGAGATTGCGTCACCAGGTGATAAGACCGACAAATATAAGTGAGTCCTACTTGGTGGTTCAATCTCCACCTTTGATGGAGCACATAACCCTCCTCTCCTCTCCAGCGCGGGAGAGAATCCTTACTCGAAACCGAACACAACTTAGAAATTCTCAGAATATGAATGGAACTGGACTAATTTTGTGTGGTTAATTTGCAGGGAGATTGGCAATGCTGGCATTCCTGGGGTTCGTGATTCAGCACAATGTGACAGGAAAAGGGCCATTTGAGAACCTGGTGCAGCACGTCACTGACCCATGGCACAACACGATTGTCCAGACTCTCAGTGGTGGCTTCTAAGTCCCACTGCAAAATTAAATGCTGTGTCTTGTTTCAGTTATTTCTGTAACCATGAATGAGTGAAGGAAGGGTTTTGGGTGGGATATGAGCTTTCAATGTAAGCAAGGGACCTTTAATGTACAGGGGGATCTGAGATGGAATTACTTTTATCATTTCATGTTACTTTCACCGAACTATTACTAATTTAAAACTTTCGTTCCAAAGCAACCATCATTACATAAAAAAATCTAGCCCAGTGCAGTGCACATGACACTGTCATTATGGGAGGAGGATCTTGAGATAGTTTGATTTATGCAGTCTTACTTATGTATGTAGAATGTATGTAGAGAGGTTGCTTTCCATTTTGAATCCATAACTTTCAAGTCAAAACAGAGCAACGATGGCCTAGCAGGATCAGGTTTCTATTTCTTAAAGGGAGATAAAGGATATCAGGTTTTTACTTCTTAAAGGGAGATCAAAGGGTAGATCAAGGGTTCAAGTTTGACGAGTATTAGCTAGTTTAAAACTTACTTTATAGGCCCCGTGCACAAGACTCCCGTTATTACGGGATCTGAAAATGATTAGATGTAGGCAATCTTACCTTTGAATGTGAACGGGATTTGAAAATGATTAGATGTACACAATCTTACCTCTAAATGTGAAGAGATTGTTTTCCGAATTTAAAACCTTGTATTACAATAGAACAACTTTAAGCTACCACCATTACATAAGGAAAATAATAATAATAATAATAAACACTAAAAAACAAACAATCTCATGAGACACAATGGAACTGTTAATACAAGTGAAATTAATTCCTTTTCTATTAGAGTTTTATATACAGCTGGGATACTTAAACTGCAAATAGGAGACCCTGCGTATTACAAGTAACTTTGTCAATAAAACTAAGAGAAACTAATTAATTACATGGACAAACCTGTGATGTTATATGATTATATACTATATATCATACAGCTAATACATCTGGTGGCCAAAATGAGCTTCACTCAATCTCTAAGGAACATCACCAACTTCATTCAGTAATTACAAGAGAAATTGGGCATGAAAAGTCCCCACGTTCAAGTCAAACTGTAGACAAGATGCCAACCAAATGAGTCCCTGAGTTACTATTCTCAGTAATTTGATGAACAGAAACATGATTTCCGAAAGCTAATGTGGCTGCTGCAAAAACAAAACGATATAAAATAATTAGAAAGAAAATTCAGATTTCTTGTTATAAAGTGATAATGAGTAAATAAAATGTAGGTGAATTGGTTGCACTGAATCTCTGCCTAGTTGATGAAATAGCAATGCATGCAAATTAACATGACAAACAGACCACAAAAAATCGTTTTATAGAGCCGGTATATAATTTATTTGAACCTAATTAGCATGCAGGTAAAATAAAAATCAAGACGTTGGGAAGCAAGAATTATGTAAATTGGTAACATCACATCCCAGCATAGAATCCGAATAAACAAAGAAGAAAAATTGGTGATCGCTAGCACCATGTGGAAGCTACACAACCTTTTTCTTTTCTTTTCTTTTTTCTTTTTTTTTTTCAAAAAAGTTTTTGGCTTAGAGATATATTAATCACTTTAGGCATAAGGACTTTACTCTGAACTTCAAACAAAACATAGTAGTCAATTGAATTATTTCCAATCAAACACACACACAAGGAAACTACACTGTAACTTGTTTAGCTTAATAAAGTGATCATATAAACTGAACCACCACCAAATATGATCCTGCCGTTTATTAACCATGGCAATGACATGCTCTTCCTCTAATCCAGAGTTCAAAATTAAGTGAAAAAAGCAGGAAAAAAGAGTAGCCTACCAGTTAAATGAGTAATAATTCATTAACTAGTTCAGACTCAGTAATTTCAGAATGCCGTCCCTTTGTCCTCAAACATAAAGAGGACAATCTGCAGGGACAAACTTGAATTATTCAACAAATGCTAGACAAAATTGAATGACAAATGAAGAAATTATTGCAACTGGAAAAACACAAAACATGTTTTGGATTGTCAATTGCCAGGCAGCAACCAGGTTAAACTTCTTAATTACTGGCAACTTGGTATGATTGTCAATAAGTGATAAATCACGGAATCTAAAAGAATAAGTAAAATAATGAAAAAGGAAACAGGTGATTAGGTCTGTAACAAATCCACCCTTCCCAGCACCGATAGCAAGACTAACATTGGGCATGGGTCAAGACTAACATTGAAAGGATAAGCTAGACTTCTATTACAAGGACACCAAGCATCAAACAGAGATTTAAGAAGGTACAGAAACACCAGCATGGTAAATTGTAAGAGAGCAGGCCAAAAAAGAGGCAAAATGGTACAAAATATTTAATCACAATTCTGCTTCTCTTCCTCCTCATAAACCCTCTCTCTCTCCTCTCTCTCTCATTTTTAGTTGAGAATCCTGATGCACACAATCATTCACAAACCACATCATCTCACTCTTCTTATTTTAGATAAAATTTAATTTTTTTGATAATGTGTATCAAGTCCCTTGACAACCTTTGTACCTTTCATAAATAAAATTTGACATTAAAAAAACAACCAAACATGTTGCAATGAATGCTTCGATAATTTAATTTGCCTCAATGGCATGTTAACTGCTTTTCAAACTTATACGGGTAATAGTTTGAAAATTTAGACAGAATGAAGAGGTTATTGACCACTTGTTTTGTAAGTGTGAATATGTGAAGAAGGTATGGGATGGATTTTCTGAGGTGTGCCACTGGAATTTCGAGGGAGAAGAATTTGGGATTGGCTCAGCAATTTATTCAACATTTTTCAGCAAGAACCATCAAAAACAAGTTAGCTAGGATGATTTTTTCTGCTATGTTGTATTTTGTATGGTCTGAAAGGAATGACAGGATACACAATTCTAAGTTCAGAGAACCTAGAGAATTAGCGAAATGTATCCTATGGGAAGTGTTGGATGTCTTGGGGGTATGCCTCCAAGACATCATTTAATTTTAAAATTGTGTTCTTTACTTAGCGTATCAAGGGTATGCCCTTGATTTATTTTTATCCTGCTTAAGGATCTAGTGGTTGCTGATGATCTTATGCCCTCACTCTATCCTTTGTACATTATTGTTTATATTTATAAATTTTTCCATCATTTAGGAAAGAAAAAAAAAACATGGTTTATTTATGGAATGCGCATGCTACTACTTAGCAAGAGATGGTCAAAAAACTAAGAATGTCCTCCCAACCTTGGGCATCCTTCGTCCAGAACATGTTAATCTCTTAAAGAATTCAACTCAATTCATGAAGTGAAGAAACAAAGATATAACCAAGTCATTAATTTCGAATCTTAAAGAGCTGAGAAAGGAAAACTGCAGCATCAGAGAGATGCTCACCTGTGGGTACGAGTTCTCATTAAACATGGAAATGGCACAAGTCCCAGGTGCAGGAAGCCAGGTATGATGCACATTGTCATAAATAGGTTTAGACAGTTCAAAATTACTCTTAATTTGATAATCCAAGGAATTTCCCGGCAAGTTCATCTCTATCGCAGGTTTCAATTTCTTTGCTTCAGGCAGATTTAGAGTGCTATATGGATTATACTGATATGGCTCACTGAGTTCTTGTCTCACACATCCAGTACTACCTAACTCATTCAAGGCACCACCTTCTTGTCCTGTATTATCAATTTGTACTGTGTTCTCAATCTCTGTTTTGCCAGAGCCAAAGTAACCAGAAAAGGTTGGAAGGGCGGCATCTGTTGAGCATTCCACATCTCTGCAGGAAAAGAATAGCCATACAATGTTCACAAGAAAAGAGCACATCATTGCCTATTTGCTTCAGTACTCTGAAAACATTTTTCAAGAACTCTAGAAACAGGAAAAAAAATTCTCAGAGAATTATATAAAAAATAATAATGTTCCATGAAATTAGCTATTCTCAGTTTTTAGAGAACAGTTTTCAAAAAGATGTCCACCGAGCAAATCTTGGAACTGTTTTCTGTTAGAAAATTAACCAATCAGGCCATAATCTGTATGCCAATATAGTAATTCCTTACATATGAATCAGTAGTCCTGAAGGATGAACCTATACGCAATGAAGACTGATGAAATAAAAGAATTTTATTCTTGTCACAAATAAAGCTACCAAGTAATATATCAAGGCAAGGCATATTTGGAAGTTGGATTCAAAAATCATTTTATAGCAGGCCACTAACCTTTGAAGCAGAAAGTTTGGCTCTCCAGGTAATATCATATGTTGATTCTCATTATTGGGAAGCCATGATAGCGGTTGTGCTTCTTGTGCACCACCCATCATCAAAGGTAAATGCATTCCATTCTGGAACTGTGATGCAAGAGTAAACTACATCAGATTTTCCCATATCACACATGCACACAGAGACCAGCTAAATGATTCATTACCTGTTCAAGTGACATAAGTTGGTGCTTTCTGAAATTATCCTGCCAATGCAAAGTAGGGAGTTAATACATTATCAGTTAGTTACTTGGATAAATGGACAAGATTGATTAAGATGCATGAATCAATCAATATCACAGCCCTTGATTCTTAAGCACGTGTGGCATGTGGTCCCACAAGCATATGCACACTACTTTAGTATAAAATATTCACAAAACAAAATCTATTTAACTATAATACTAAAATGATAATACATGTTTCTTCTGATCTAACAACTTCGGCGAGTCCATAAAATGCAAGTTTACAATACTAAATGAAAGGAAAAAAGCAGACCTTCAGAAAAATATTTTAAAGTTAACTTTTGTCATACTGCTCCAAGTTGAACAAAAAAAAATAATACCTTATGCATACGAATTCGGTTAAGTGATTCCCTTAGTGAGTCTTCCATCTGCCTAAGATGTTCCATGTTGTCAATCTTATTCGGGTTGCTCCAACAGCTGAAGAAACATAAATTGTACAAAGTATTTTATGAAGGCATCCTGTATCTGTTCTTGCCAATTAAAGAATCTATAATCATGACAGTGGGTAAAAAAGGTACTCATAAATAAACATAAGGCAATTCTAGGCGAAGAGATAACAACTAGAATTGTTGTTGAAGAGAATACATTAAAGACATATATGAGCATAACCTTTGCAATCCCTTAGCTAATACATCAATAATTCACTTACAAAACATTGCACTATTGCACAATTAATAATATGAACCCACTTTCGTCACTCTGAAGATCACTTAAGCCAATTTTAACTTCACCCGAATTAGTAGTGGACCAGTAACAATTCAAAAGTGATTACGATTCTGACTATAACGATACATATTAACTTCAGTGTTGTAAACCTCAGCTATGCAATGCTGCTTTTATATATATCAAAACATATAATTATGCATCTACCGTCTTTTTGAAACATTAACTAAACTCAGAAACAGAATGTCCAAGTATGGAAAGTAAGAGACATTTGTATACTGCTGACCTTTAACAAGATGTAGAACATGCCATACAAAATAATAGAAAATATATTAAATAAAGATATGCTGTTGTACTGTAGTTGCAAGGCCAGTGAATTACGCTACACTACTATATAACAAAGGAAACAACAAATTGGGAACATTTCAGGGCCTCCATGGCTAATATACTATGTGCAAATAGTCTAGAGAGGATTAAATTACAAAATATACCTAAACGATGTTTTAGTTTTTTTTTTTTTTTCCCTCAATAGTTAAATTGGCTTTCAGTTCATAGATATCTCATGCTATTCGATGATCAAAGAGACCAAAAAAAAAATCAGTACTTTAACAAATAAAAGCTCCAAAGTTGTACCTCAGTCTCTTATGTACTTCTGTAAGTTGAGCTTGCAAAACCCTCATGTGGTTGGTTAATTCCTAGGCACAACAATTTTAAAAAAATATAAATATATTGTTGGTAAGAATAAATTGAATAGAACTCTTGATATGAATAAAAACTAAATAAACCTTATTGCACACAGTAATGGTACTGAACAATGGTACATACCTCAACTGATTGAGTGCTGCAACCAAAAAAAAAAAAATATATGAAAATTAAGTTTTTCAGGAAAAAAAACTATAAAGTTCTAAGATATTGACCAAAATCATGACATACCTTGTGCCCAAAAAGTCTTGTATATTTACATCATGGTCCAACTTCTTAAAAGTTTTCTTCAGTGCCTATATTCTCAAAGAGAACACCAAGAAGTTGGTATGAATATATGGTATTGACCACTTTAATGAAAAGGAAAAAAGAAAGAAAGAAGAAAAAATATTTAGAGGATGAGTGATGAACATCAATCTTACTTCAAGGCTCTCCAACTTCCTGCCCAACCAAACAAAAACCATTTAGCCAAAAGGCTCAGCAAATTTGACCAAGACTACATATACAAAAAGAACAACAGTTTTTAGGAAGAGCTTTATCTCACCTTTTTGCTCTTTCTTGGGGAGTTAGTTGAGCAAATTTTGCAATAATGTCTTCAATGTTGCTAAAAAAAGAAGAGGAGCAGATGATTTTAGTAAATGACAAGATACATAGCTAATACCACAGAACAACCAATTGTTAGTTTAAGTAGTATTCCCTACCAAACTCCAAGGGAAAGGTACAGAGTTTTTGGTTCCAGTTAGAACTTGGGTGCATGTATAGTACTTACCAATATATATATGTATTGTATATTAAATCCAATTGTAATATTAATCTGCCATTTTTGGGAAGGAAAAAAAGCTCTAAATTTCATGTTGGCCATAGTCCAAAACCAAATGCTTTTTATTTACATCTCAATAATGGATAACTTGCTTTTATTTACATCTCCATAATCCAAAACCACTTGCTTTCATCTAGAGAAAAAAATAAAAATAAAAAATTGCTTGACGAACTTGTTTCCCACATTTGTTAACAAAGTTCAAGTACACAGATCAACAGGAAAAAAATGACTGACGAAATATAGACAAAAACTGAGTTTGACAATAATGCCAGATTACTTTTATTTTAATCCCTAAAGGTAATTTTCCAAAGAACACAATACACCCCAAATTAAGCTGATTAAGGTACCTGCGCTCCCCGCGGAATATTGTAGGCTTCCCAGTTGGAGAAAACATGAGAAGGATAATGTCAATGTCACATAATATTGATAATTCCCTAGCTTTCTTCAAGATCCCATTCCTCCGTTTCGAATAGGTCACTTGCCGGTTGCTAGTGCTCTCTAATCTTTTTATCTTTAGCTTAACCCTCCCCATCCTGCAAACAAATATAAAATCCCCTTAGCTTTGTATCTCATGCAGATACAGTGATGCCATAAGACCATTGAATATGCCAAGAATATATATATATATATATATATATATACATATTTTTTCATTACAGCCATTTTAACTTACTTTTGATTTTCCAAATACTCAGTTCAAAAACTGTAGCATTCATTCCAGGAAATTCCAATGACCATCAAAAAAATTACGTGGCAAGAAGAATATTTTGCAAGAACTACCCAAAACTAAGAAATGAGAAGATGAAGTAATACAAACTGACATTATTTGAAGGCTATCTTATATTGCTGAATACCCATTAAACGCATACATATGATAATAAAACTCATAATTTAGGACAAACCAAACAGAAATTCACAAAACCCAGAAAGGAAATCCTCAAAATTATTATAAAATTTAAAAAGAAAAAGAAAGAAATTTAAGAATACCCACTTGAAGATTTCAAATGCCCAAATTTTGGACACTCTGAAACCCCAGTTTGCACACTAAAACAAAGCAATATATATCGAAAAGAATCTCGCATCCCAAAAAAAGGCATACCCAGATGAGGAAATGAACGAATAATAATAATTAAAAAACCGCTCTGAAGTTTTTTTTTTTTTTTTTTTTTTAAAAAAAAGGAAATTACGGAGGATTAAGGCAACAAAAAGATAGAAAGTGAACGAAAGGAGAAGAGATAGTAGAGAGAGAAAGAGAGAGAAGGAGAGGGAAAGGGAGAGCTTACGATAGGACGATGGGCTATGCTGCAAATTCGGTCGTTAAAACCAGCGGGAGAACCGGAAGGAGTCAGAAATTTCACAGACCAACCATATGAAATTTTAACGTCTGTATTGTGTAGAGAGAGAAAGTGTATTGAGAGAGATGAACCGACGGTGGGGATTGTGACCTCCGACGTTCTGTCACAGTAATGAAAGCCTTGTTAGTTGTGAACCAACAAATGAATCCTGATTCCGTGAAGGTAATTTCGCCCCACCCGATATCTTTTGAACATCCAACCCGAACACGATTTACATTATTGGGTAAATTGCATTGAGGGTTTCGGTCAGATGCAGTCAACAACTTTGTTAACAATGGAATTTCAAATGTTATTTGTCCCTAATTATTTAATTTAATTAATTTATAAAATATCACTCATTTAATTAATGAAATTATTCTCATCATTCAGTCTCTTTCTCTACCCTAATTTCTAATTTTTTTTATTTTTTATTTTTTTTAGTATCTAACCGCTGACACTCCCTCTCTCTCTTCCCGATCTCAAACATGACTACTTATTTTTTTTCTTTGTTGTGGTAGGTCTGGACTGGCTATGGCTATTTTTATTTTTTTTCAACTCTGGTCATGGTTGTTGTGGTGTTGTTTGGGTGTGGTTGTAGAGGTAATTATGGTTGTGTCTAAGTTATTAAGGAGTTTCAAAAATTTTATTTTTATTTTTTCTATTACGATGGTTTTCTTGGCCGGTGTGGTGGTGGCGGCGGCGTTTGGCTATGATTATTTTTTTTTTTTCCTTCTGCTGTGGTGTTTGGGTGTGGTGGTGATGGTTATGGTGGTGTTTGGGTGTAGTGGTGATAGTTATGGTGGTATATAGTTATTTGGTTATTTCAAAAAATATTTATTTATTTATTTATTTATGATGTGATGATGGTTATGGTTATGGTTCCAGTAGTTCAAGGATTGTTTATATAAACTATATTTATATGTGATTTTTTTTTTTTTTTAATTCTTATGTTGTGGCAATGGTTATGGTGGTACAAGTATTGTTATATATAAACTATATCTATATGTGTAAAAGAGATGAAGAAGTTAGTTTGGTCCATTAAATTTAGTTAAGAGGTTAAATTTGTAATTTCATAATGTAAATGGAATATTTGACAAGTCAAATGGTTAAAAGGTAATTTCATATGATTTCAGAAGTCTGGAAGGGGTGTCAATATACATTATTGAAACCTCAGGGCCTGTCAATATAAAAAAACCATTGACAGTCCGCTGAGTGACGTTGATCAAAATAGTAGGGAGTGTCAATGCAATTTACCCTTTTATTTTTAGGATAATTTACTATCAAATTATGCCCGCATCCCCTCTAGTTTGCATATTTACACTTACCTCCCTTCTAAGTGACCGACGTTCGACCGGTGACCGGAGATATGAATTTACCCTTCTACCCTTGTTATTTTAATGCATTTTTAATTCAAAAATTCGTCACTATAAATTTACTTTTATGGCCATAGCACATTACTTTAGTATTGGGCTCAATGGTTTGAACCATCCTGCCTTGTGTTAACTAGAATGGAAACCATGTGATGTCCTGCATCAAGTACTGCTCGATCACAAACCTGCCCATCACCTTTGCTTAAGCAACAACAAAAGTTACACACACACACACACACACACATATATTCTGAAGCTATAAAGTACTGCTTCAAAATGCTACGTGTTAGGGTTAATTAATTTAATACCCATAATGAACTGCAATTTTAAGCAAGTATAGATATGACAATTCACATTTTTATTTTTCACTTGCACCTAAAGTTTAAAATAACAAAATTATCCTTCATATTAATTCAACAAGTGTGTTTCAAAGCGTAATTATCCAGAAATTTGTTTCTTTGAACAATAATGAGGTAAAAATTATAAATTAAAATAATATTTAACTTAATTATAAATTGAAAATATTTTGGTTCAATACATCAACAATTGTCCTCAACTAGGGAGTAGGGTTTACGTTTTGAAAACCTTGCAACATTCAAATTCTATCAGCAAGGACCGTAATTCAATGATATCTACTCTTCTTTTTAAAGTGAAAGTTCCAAAGTTCAGAGTCTTGCAGTAGAATCTGTAGTAGCTAAGGTGTTATTTTCAAGGAGTAGAAGAAAAATAAAATAAAATAAAAAGTTTGTATTTTTCAATCTCTACAATGGATGTGCTGACTGATAGGATCAATGACAAGGTCACAAGCAAATAAAATAATAGATTTATCTTGTCGTTTTTGGGCTCAATTCTTACCATCTCGAGACTTGCACACCTACTTGTTGATGGGAAGAAAAAATATATATAAATAAATAAAATAAAATAAAATCAATGTTATTTATATTATTATTCGATAGAGAGTCGTGGATGGTGTAGGGAGAGAGCGTGGATATGGAGTTGTTGGTTGTTGTTTGTTGTGCGTAGGTGTGAGAAGAAAAAGAGAGAGGGTGCAAAAGATAGAAGTGTGAATGCATTTGTATACTGTACACACAAGTTTCGTAGTCTGTAAATAAAGAATAAAATATGGAGCAAATAGAATTTTATTAATTTGAAAAAATTAGAATACAATCCTCTGAGATATTCTTTACAAAAGAAAGAAAATATCATCTGATTCGATCTCCTTTATTGGTTGGATTCAAGGGCTGTTAGAACTTAATCTTGAATCGGGCTGTTGACAAGTATTTGTAGTTGAAAAAGATCGCCGATGATTTCTGATTGAGAGCTGACGAAGCTTGATCTCGGACAGAGTTGTATGATAATTCGTCGAACTTGTTGAATTACGGAGAAAGAATAGCACGATTTTGATGTGCTTGTTGTTCTTTGTTGAATTTGAGAAAGAATGGCACTGTAATACCCCTAATTTTAAAAGGATAATCTCGACATTTTAATTAATGGTTTTATTTCATCTTAGCTGATTAGTTGATGTATTTGCTTAATTGTTTAATTATCTAATTGATTTATGTGGTTATTTGTGTGATTGTTTGTTTAAGTAATTAATTATTGGTTTGTATTATTAAATACTTGTGTGGAAATTCATGTAATTTTTGTTGTGATTAAATGCTTTTAAATTCATGTAATTAGTTTTTTATGTAAAGTATAAGTTTAGGGTTTTATTTTTTTATGACATTTCGTGGGTTAGGTTAACCGACTTATAATTAGGTTGGAATTAGAATTAGGTTTTATGGAAGCCTATATAAAGAACAGAATGTCTGTCTAGGGTTGGAAAAACCCTTTTCACATATAGAGAGAAACTGGAGAGCAGACAGTGAGAGGCTTGAGAGAAAAATATAGAGGCTCAAGGAGTAAAGAAAGAGAGTTGGTCGTGTGTTGAAGTAAGAAGCAACAGAGGAGGAGAACAGTGAACAGAGGAGGAAAACAGTTTTGGGATTCGCCGGAACTCAGAGACGGTGGTTTAAGGTTTCAAAACTGAAATCAAAGGCAAGTTTTATTCTAACTCCTTCCCTTAAACTTGTGTTCTGTGCATGCTATATAGTCTCCAGGAATTAAATCAGACTTTAAAAATGGTTGTTTATGCATGTTAAATCAGACTGCAAACTATTTTATGTTTTGATTAACTAAAATTGTTTTCTTGCATGAACTGTTCTGATTATGTTTTAAATTCCTATTATCAATTCGTTCTGGAACTCATGGAGTTTTTGGAACCTTTGGAACTTAGATTGAGCCCTAAAAGTTTTAATAAAATCAGTACATAGGACTCTGAACTTTGCCGGAGGCGAAGAAGATGAACAGATGAAGCGTAGCACGCTCTCAGGGAGAGAGCCGGCTCCTTAGGTGAGAGAGTCGGCTCTCCATGAGGGAGAGCTGGCTCTAGGTGTGTGAGAGCTGGCTCCCATGGAAGGGGAGCCAGCTCCCTTGCTGGAACACCCTACGGGTGTATATTTTTGGCATTTTTCTGACTGCAGGGGCTAAAATAAAATTCTGGAATTTCATTGGAGGTTTTTAAATGATATATATAACATGTTTCAGGCCCAGGAATATTGGTTTATACTATGGTAATGGACATCATGAAATTTAAACACTAAATTGTATGCTGTCAGGAGTTGCGGAAGTTATAGTTGCTAGTTTTGTTTTAGCGAATTAAATGGACTAGTATGAAAATACTTTTGGGATTTCATATAATGTGCTCAGTTTGTACTTCTGAGTATCATTATATCATACACTGGATTTATAATTGAGGATTAAATGAACGTCATGAAATTTAAATATAAATTTGCATACTGTCAAGGATTGTGGAAGATTTAATTGCTAGTTTTTGTTTTAGCAAATTAAAAGGACTAGTATGAAAGTATTTTTGGGATTTCAGTATAATGTGCTCGGTTTATATTTCTGATCATCATTATATCATGCTATGGACTTTAATTGATGAACTATTATAATTTATGTTCTGTCAATTATATGGATATGGATGATTTAAATTGTTTATTTTACTCTAGCAATTTAAACGGAGGTTATATGATTATAATCATATATTGGATGCATGATAGGATCTTGCATATATCTGATATCTATTATGTTTGTTTCTGGATGTATTTGATGTTCAAATGAGTGTGCATTATTTATGGATCATATGCATTATATGCACCGGTATGGGACGGTGGCATATTAGGGATGGATTAGATCAACACGCTAATTCCTATCTATTCATACATACGGAATGGATTAACTAAAACAGTTAAATTCTACATGGAGTCATGTCTTGTCAACTAAAACAGTTGAACGACATACTGGATGTTTGTTTTATATTCTGTATTAGGAATGATTTATATATATGATTATGGTACCGTGATATGAACTTGAGTCTCAGGATCATGGTTAGGGTGCATATATCGCCTAGCATGAGTAACTAGACATAGTTGATATTCCATGTTAATATTTAGAATTCTTTCAACCTTTAAATTTATTTCTTAATTCTTTTGTATTCCTGCTTGTTTACATATTAATTGTCTAGTATTCCTCGGATCTGTACTCAGACTTGATCACCCGTGGCTCTAAAATCGAGGGGTATCACAGACACGGCTTTAAATGTGCTTGTTGTTGATTACGGTGGAATTTTGATGAAAAAGGGCATGATTTGATGTGCTTATTGCTCTTTGCCTTCAAGTTTAGGTGTTGAGAATGAATGTTGGCAGAGCTTCTGTATTTCTCTTTGGGATTTCTGGCCTTCTGGATTTCTGAGTCTCTTAATTTCTGGACCCTCTTTCTATCTTTTCTCTATGCCTCTATTTATAGGCTTCTTAGATTAAT